TATGTATAAATATACACATAAATATATATTCAGTGTGTATTACAAATATTTAATATAAAATTATTTTGAGTATTCTTTACCGTAGCAAATTAAATATATTTTATTCTATTAAAATAACGCCAAAAGGAAAAGTATGCCATACGGTTATCACGGGGATAAATGATTGATTACGCAAAGAACAAATAACAAATAAATTTACCAATCTTAAGTAAACTTTACCATCACACCCGTTGCTTTCTTCCTGGATTGCTGCTCGCACAATATTTATTCGCGAAAACACGGTTATGATCGCGCACGCACTATTAATCAGAATACGATTGCGCGATGCATTTCTTCGACGACTTCGCGTGGCATTTTTCGACGTGACGTCACACGCGAGACGGGCGCTTTATTACATTACGACGGAAGAATAACGCGAAGAAGATACGATCCACTTAGCACCCGAAAACACGGTTATGATCGCGCGACGCTTTACACGACACTCCCGCCGATGTTGATCACACGCGACATGCATTTCATTACATTACGACGAAAGAATAACGCGAAGAAGATGCGGTCACAAGAAGCTACGATCCACCCGACACGCGCGATATCTCACGAATAAGTGCGCTGGACAAATTTGAAAAGGCAGGGCGAGAAGCGAGTTCGAAAATCGCGCAGACAACTTCGCCCGCCATCCGCTCGCCATGATGTTTATACATACATAGAGTGCGTTCCACTTGGCATTACGAATGCTTTGTTGCAAGCATTTGATTGGTCAATCGGAATTAGTCAAATATATTATATATATATATCTACATAAATTTGTATGTATTCAGTATTATAAATATTTAATATAAAATTATTTTGAGTATTTTTTACCGTAACAAATTAAATGTATTTTATGCATTCTATTAAAATAATGTCAAAAGAAAAAAGAATACGCCATGCGGTTATCATAGGGATAAACGATTGATTATGTACAGAACAAATAATAAATAAATTTTCTAACCTTAAGTAAGCTTTACCATCACACCCGTTGCTTTCTTTCTAGGTTGCTGCTAGCACAATATTTATTCGCGAAAACACGGTTACGATCTCGCACGCACTATTAATCAGAAAACGATTGCGCGATACTTTGCGCGGCATGACGTCATACGTGAGACGGGCGCTTTATTACATTGCGACGAAAGAATAATGCAAAAAAGATACGATCCACTCAGCTCCCGAAAACACAGTTATGATCCCGCGACACTTTACACGACACTCCCGCCGATGTTGATCACACGCGACACGCATTTTATTATATTACGACGAAAGAATTACGCGAAAAAGATGCGGTCACAAGAAGCTACGATCCATCCGGCACGCGCGACATCTCACAAATAAGCGCGCTGGACGAAAAGGCAGGGACAGTTTGAAAATCGCGCAGACAACTTCGCCTACTATCCGTTCGCCACGATGTTTATACATACATAGATCCCATTCCACATATATCACGTCGTATATTATGTCATAGAATAAAATTTTTGTTTTGCGATATAGAATCTAGAATCAGTTTACGAACACTTCATCGTATTAATAATCTCAAACATTTTACTATCCATGGAAAAATGAATTGCTTTGATAATAGTTTCTTGTATTAATATGAATATATTAATTACCATTCTTCTAATTTTTATAATTATATAATTATTACGTTAATTATTTTTAAAAAATATTTAGAATAACGAGGAATTTTTAGACATTGTTTTTATTTTGTACATTAAATACGCATTGGACGAAACAAAATATTTATCTGAAAATGTTTATTAGTTTTCAGTTTTCATATAATACAGGATAACAAGCGTACGGCGCGATGTCGTCTTAGTCTTGATGGAAAGAGTATCCGATATTACATGCATGCGTAACATTCTCTTTGCCCCGGAAAATTCATAAGAATAAGGTATAACTTACCGGAAAAAGCGCAGCGTCGCAAACAGTCTCGTCTAATATATGCTCGACGCGTCTTCGCTCGTTGCTCGAATAAGTTTCTTCGTCGAGGTTTTAAGCGGTCGGACGGTCAACTTTATACGTCCGCGCTGGCGAATTATGGAAATCCTTCCTGAAAAAGTTCAAAGTGCGGCGAGATCACGCTAACGTGTCAAAAGGTGCAAGTCGCTGCTAAAGTTCGTCAAAAGTTTTGACAAAAAGCATTAATGTTTGTTTTTATGTTTTTATGTTGTTATTATTTTGGCGATAATATATTTGTAATTTGATAAAGACTAGCATTGAAGATATTTAATAAAAATTAATAAAATTACATGGTTAATCTATTTGCTAAGAAAAAAATACACATCAGTAATTTTTTTAAGAAACTTTATAAATCAAATTCTTTTAAATATCAAACATATAAATTCACTAAAAAAATAAAAATCTCAATTATTTGGACATTGATTATATTGTTGTTGTACTCCCCAAAAATGTGTTTTAATATAATAAAATTGTTTTATTAAAAAAATAGCGATTTTGATTATAATCTGTTGACATCATACAGAATTTTATTAAATAAGATAATATAAAAAGCACATATATTATACCACATTCAAATAAGCAGTATGTTTTTATTGGCCAATTCACATAATTTTTTTTTTTATGCAAATTAATACGTGCTAGCATGTGTGCAACCAGTAGCGCGGCAACCCTTAATACAGTCGTGTCTTGCGCAATAGCACGTGTTTTTACGTCTGTTATTCTTGTTCTGTCAGCTGGGAACGGTGGTTAAGAAATCCGGCGAGAGGTTAACGTAAAGTGAGAATATACTTAATATAATTGTATGAAATAAATAATCGTGTATATATACATATATATAGAGCGTGGATACTGTTAAAATTTGTAACAAAATGGATCCAGCTTTACTCAAAGAACGAGAGCTCTTCAAAAAGCGTGCTCTAACCACACCAGTGTGAGTATTCAAGTTGTTCTCTGTGTCTCTATTATGTTATTGTTTTATCAATATACACATCATATACATTAGAATTAAATTGTATAATTCAACCATAATTCACATGTAGAAATTTAATGCAGTTTATTTCTTTTTGCATACGATTGTAAAATATAGATATGTAATGTATCTCGCAATATTATACTTTAACCTCACGTATCAAAATATTTATATTATTTACTCAAGAATCTAGATATGTATCTAGATAGACAGATATATAGACATATATCTTATAATGTGTGATTGCAGAATTGAAAAGAAGAAACAGGAGAAGGAAACTACAAAAGATGAAGCGCCAAAGAAAAATGAACTGCCAAAGAAGAAACCTAAAGTATCGTCCATGTCTATGGGTCCTAAGTTGGATATGGTTAATTATAAAACCATGACTGGTAGTACGCAATACAAGTTTGGCGTATTAGCAAAGATAGTGAAGCACATGAAAGCAAGGCATCAGGAAGGAGATGATCATCCATTAACGTTGGAAGAGATTTTAGATGAAACAAATCAATTAGATGTTGGATCTAAAGTAAATGATGATTTGCATTATACGATACAGCACAACACGACGAAACATTCTTTTATAAGTATAAACATATTTGTTTCATATGTTATTAAAAGTTTATGTGAATTAATGTATTTATATAATTATATAACAGAAAGATATTTTTTGTTGTGTCACATCATGTTGTGTTGTACAATCGTGAAACATATAATCAATCTTAAGCATTGATTGTTTTCTGTATATTTATATTCCTGTTATTTTTTTATTTTAAAAACAAGTTGTTTTTCCTTATGTATTTTTAGGTTAAACAATGGCTGCAAACCGAAGCTTTATTAAAAAATCCTAAGATTGAAGTTACATCGGATAGTAGATTTGCCTTTAAACCTATGTATAAAATAAAAGATAAGAAATCCTTATTGAGGCTTTTGAAACAACATGATTTAAAAGGCCTTGGAGGTATATTATTGGAAGATATACAAGAGAGTTTACCGCACTGTGATAAACATTTAAAGGTAAGTTAAAATATATATAGAAATTTATTTCATAGCCATTTGCCTGACAAATGTTAATTATATATATATTTCAGAGTTTACAAAATGAAATTTTATATATTACACGACCGCTTGATAAGAAAAAGATTGTCTTTTATAATGACAAGACGGCACAGTTCCCTATAGATGATGAATTCCAAAAATTATGGAGAGCTGTTGCAGTAGATGCCATGGATGATCAGAAAATAGACGAATATCTTGAAAAACAAGGAATTAGATCAATGCAAGATCATGGTCTCAAAAAGGCAGCACCAATCAAACGAAAAAAACCTGTTAATAGAAGGAAACAATTTAAGAAACCAAGAGATAATGAACATTTAGTAGATGTTTTGGAAACGTATGATGATTAAATAAGGATATCATAAGTATTCTATTTTTTGAAAGGGCATGAAATATAAAAATTAAAAATTATCTTGAGATAATTAGTATTAGTCTCGAATAAAATTATTATATTATTTAATTTACCTATAAAAAGTATTATAATTCCTTTTTTTTAAACTTAAGTCTCATTTCTCAATGGGCATATGGATTAATCTTTATTGCTGATATAAATGCCATACTGAATATTTACTTGCATCGCAATACATATGTAAGATATATTTTTAGCATCTAACAAAATATTCACATTATGCCTGAAAGTAGACATGTAGAAATTTTGTCAATTATATTATATAGCAATTTTTTTATACATTCAATCTCTTTTCTCTGTTCTCTTCTAATCTGCCTCTCTTGATCTATAATTAAATAAAATCGCGTAACTTTAAACAGCGTGACTAAAGTAGATGTTGATTACCTGTCAATGCCATATTAAATTGTACATTATTACATTATGACACAATAAATTTTTCAAAGGTTTGTTTAGATGCATAGTTGCAGATTGATAGAAAATTTTTGGAAGAAAATTATATAAATAATTCCCCTGAAAGAGAGAGATTATGCAATTTTACAGTTGCAATTTATTTTAGACATATAATAAATAAGTAAAACATTTTTATTGTCACATGATATCTCTTATTATAAGTACAAAATAAATATAGAATATTATAAGAATCTCAACATTTATATAATAAATTTATATACTATTTATATTGGTCACACACAATCAGCCTTTCTTTAGATGCAATACTTGTTTCATTTGCTAATGCGATAAAAAAATTACAAAATATATTACTATTTTGTATAATATAAGAATTATAAAAATTAGAAACTGTTGACTGTTTTGTGTATTATGCTTTTTTTAAACTTTTTCTAAACTTTTTTTAACTTCTAGATTTCTTCAGCACATTTCAGTAATTTTAATTTTAGTTGAGCTTTAGATATTTTTTCTATTGTAAAAATATTATTTATAAAGATTTGTACATTCTAAACGTTACTCAATACACATATAAATCTTATTACTGTACAAATTCGAAACTATGATATTTTCTTTGGCATTTGTAGTTTTATCTTTTTTATTCATTATATAACAAAATTATAATTTTGAATTGTCCTGTTTTTCATACTTTTCAATTTTTTAAAAACACAGTTGTATTGATCTTTCGTCATAGGACATTCATTTCCTTATATTTGCAATATGCAAATATTTGGAACAACGATCTTATTCTTTCGGTAGAGCAGAGTCACTTTTTCCTCGCGAATAAGCACGCGTTGCTTTACTACCAAGCATTCTGTCCAGCAAAGATTGTTTATTTCTTCTTCTAGCTGCGAGAACTTCTCTGCATAATTCGTGAAAAGATTCCGCGACTTGAGCAACCTACACAAATTGTGACTGCTTGAAGAAAATTGTAGCTTACACTCCAAATATTAAGTAGAATCTCAGTTACCTGCTCAGCAGCAGTTATTTCACTAAACCAACATTCAAAATCCTTCGCTAATATTTCTCCTTCTTCACCACTGACTTGTCGTAAATGAACCATGTCAGCCTTATTTCCAACAAGAGCAAGAGGCATTGCAGCTTCAGGATCAGCCACCGCTAGAGCTTCTTTTGCCTTTCTAACAAAATTAAAAGAGTTTCTATCTGTTATCGAATAAACCAGCAGCAAACCGTCGGCCCATTGCAAAGTTTCCATTGATGGCAATTCATCCTCACTCTGAAATATTATTTTAGATATGTAGGAAACTTATTTATATATTAATATACGTATAAGAGATTTTCTTATAAAGAGAAATTACCTTTGGGCATGTATCTAAAATCTCAAAAAGAATAGGTTCGCCATCGACTAGTACCTCATGCTTGTATCTAGTTTCTAAAAAATAAGATAACAAATTTGCACTTAAGTATATTGATAATAGCTACATATTATTTAATTTTGTCTAACAATAAAGTTACGCGATTTTATAATAACTTATAACACACATATCATAACAAAATATTTCTCAATATATAAATTCCTTTTTCTAGTTCTTTTTAAAAAATTAAATTGTAGGTACTTGCATTAAATCAAATTGAAAATGTATCAATAGAAACAAATTAATATTTTAATGAATATTTTTATTATTATGCCTCTTTTTTATTTATTTATTTCTTTATTAAGTTATCTGTGTCAAGTAATTTGTCGTGTATTTTTTTTTCTTCCTTTCATTTATATTTATACAATAATATGATTCGAAAAGTATTTCTTTTAAACACGGTAATAACTGCTAGTACAACTGTTTCTTACGGTTAAAAAATAACAAAAAATAAATTTTTTGCATTTATTAGGATATAAACTCTCTTAATAATCTTATTATTTTTTCAAGATTGTAACGAGAGAGAAATATCTGTGATTTGTAAATTTAAATAAATGAATAAAAAGAATCCGACATAACTATCTGTGTAACTTTCCACTGCGCAACTATTTAAGGGCTAACGGACCCAATTTGTATATCATTAAGCAGTCTCTCAGATTGAATTTAGTTTGAGATGCTAACACGGTACGTACTTCTCTTTTACCTAAGACCGCGTCTGTATTTGTACAAAACGATAAGTTTTGTTCAAGTGTTGTATCAACCTTGCATTAGTACTCGTCCTGTCTAGTGTCAAATTCGTCGTCGATAAATTTAGAACAGACACGGACTAAGGTATGCAGAAGGAGAATATACGCGGCCTTTTAGTAGCGGATTACAGCTGCTGGCAATTTTTCAGAACTGGCGCGATATGCTATCGTATATACATATTTTAGCATACACATACATAAGTTCTATAAGTCATACAAATTGATAAATCGAAAGTATCGGTTATGTTCTTTCTCACCTGATTGATGATCGTATTCCCCGATGTATCTTCTCGTCAAAAATCTTACTGTCAGTGCTGAAATATAATGAAAATATATGTTATATGTGTATGTAACTAATTCAAGCGTTGACATAATTATGTTGTACGTGATATAATTGAGTTGGCAAACTATAATGACAACCCGCAGGATACTCTCGCGCCTCGAACTCGTATATATCACAGTGATCTATATTTTATCCATTTGTTACAGCTGTATCTACTTATGCAAGAGAAAATTAACGTAAAAATATCATTTTTAGGCAATAATTTTGCATAACAAATTGTATTTAATATTTAACTACATTTTATTTAAAAAATATAATATAAAAATCA